TTAGACACTTAATTTGCTTAAATGTTCACCAGTTCATAGACGTAAATTGTGCTGGGCAAAGCTCCAAGTGGAATCAGCTGAGAGCAAGAAAGCTATACATATTAGGATGTAATTCAGAAGAAAAATCATCCTGCCTGGTCAAGTAAGTCCTCTTTATAGGTTATTTATAAATAACTTTCCTTTAGAGGTGGCACACACACTTAGTAAATACTTCTAGAGGAGGGAACATTACAGTAAATTTAGTTTAAAGAAATCTTCAGTATACTATACTCCTGTGTGTGAGCAGGGAATGGGTCATGTATGTTGATAAAGTAACCACATTGATTATTATTTATTGTTGAGAGAATATCACACTGAGAATCAAGATGGGAATGTTTATTCTGCCTGTCACTAATTAAATGTATGGAGCTGGGCAAGGCCCTTCAAATTTCTGCACCTCAATTTTCTCCTTTGACAGCGAGAGGTCAGAAGAAATCAACTCTTATTTCCTCCAATTTCTAAAATATTCTGGTTCTACAATTTTTCTTTCTGCCACTTATAATCTGCTGCTAACTCTGTCCACTGTATTTGCCACCTCAGGCGCTATACTTTCAGCCCTATGAGATCAACTTGAATCTATATCATAGTTTCCATATCTCCACCTAACTTTTATTCTTTTCATAATTTTCGTTTTATTGGTACATGTCTGCAGTGCGTGAAGTTTGCATTCATCTTACAAAGTAGGTGCATATACAGAGCACAGCGAATTTATTTTTTAAACTTTCTCCCCCTTCTCAGCTCTTTCCCTCCATCTCTAAAACCCCTTTCCACATTTCTATTGTTTTTACTATTATTCTTTTTATTTTTGACACATAATGCTTACATTCAGTGTAGGTATTTGATACCTATACATGATATGTCTTAAGTCTCTTTAATGCCAAATTTTTGAACATATGAAATAAAAGTTATCACTACATAATATCTTTACCTGCGAATTCTAAAATATATGTTGGTTCTATGTCAAATTCGATTTATCAAAATAGCTTTAATCTGATTTTTTTCCATTAGAAAGTTCAAACAGTTTTTAATACGGTTAAGGAGTAATTCTATGTCATGCCCTTGACTTGCCTGTTTGTGTCTCTCGCATTTTTCTGTCAGATGTTGGGTGTTTTGTTCCAAAGTTTTAAATGCTCTAATATATTAGTGCTATTAGTCTAAATCATAGTTTCACATTTCAGTCATCTTTTGAAATTCCTTATGATATTTTTGCTCTGCCTTTTATTTTATTTTATTTTATTGTATTTTTTTTGGTGGAATCGGGGATTGAACTTAGGCCCTTACGCTTGCCAGGGAAGCGCTTATTCCACTGAGCCATCTCCCCGGCCCCGGCTCTGCCTTTTAAATACCCATCTCTGACAAAACTAAACAAAAAAGGGGGATATAAATGAAGGACCATTTTGTAGAGAAAAAAATACATATCTGTATATACAAATTAGTTAGGTTAGATATACAGCTACTTTCTCTTAGTTCAATGAGAAGAAAGATTTGTACTAAGTGTTTAGACAAGTTATCATGTCTGCATCTTGTACTATGAATAACTACTATAAAGACAACAATATGCAATGTATTAATTATTGTAACTGTCCTACTAACCTGTTTCAAAACTGTCTCATTGCTATTTCTTTCTCAATAAAATTAATTAAAAAATATTATGGTTCTAAATGGTACTCATTCAGGATCTCTCTAACAGTCACTTCAATGCCATAGAGAAGGCAAGGGAAATGCAAGGGCACTTGGGGCAAAACAAAAGGAAGTTTTAAAAACTAAATACCAATAGAGAAGCTACTTTGAAAATTAAATAACAGTAGAAAAGTCTGAACATAACATCACAGGGAAATCTGTGTGAGTGCAGAGGCCAGTGATTCCCAAAGCGTGCAGTACATATCTCTGGGATAGAACCTGGGTAGAAATATCTACAAGTGGCTCTGAGGGCTGGAAGGTGAAAAGTTGGCTGGGATTGTGGGAACCCCTTCTTCCTATGAAAGAGGCTGTACCCAAATACCTGAGTCTTCTATGACAGTGATACTCCTCCCTGATAGGAGTAGCTACAATCTCCCACACAAAAAGCTTGGCAGCTGGATTTCCCAGACAACTTGTGGATAGAGCTAGCATTCTAACCCAAATTGCTTTGTTTGCCCATTGACGGATACTCATGCTTGCCTTTTATGAAGGACCTGAGAAATGGGCACGTCCTTCCGCTAGGCATAGACTATGTGCATCCAGCAGCACCTGGCCCATCCTGCAGCACCTGGCGCTGACCTCTCCACAATGTGGTGGGAGTAAAGGAGGACCAGTGCTTCCTGTCGCTGACCTTGAGGGTGTGAGCTTCTCCAACCAAAACCATTCTTTGACCCAGCAAGTCTTAAACTTTTGTATGCATCAGAATTGTTTAGAGGACTTGCTAACATATAGATTGCTGGGCTCCTTTCCTAGGGTTTCTGATTCAGTATACCTGAGGTGGGCTGTGCATTCACTTTTTAAGTAAGTTTTCATGTGATGCAGAAGCTCCTTAGCCAAGGCCTGTACTTTGAGAAATCATACTGTATTACATAACGATGGAACTCACTCTGAACCCTATTGCAAGACAGATGGTCATAAGTAATTTAAAGTGGTAAGTGCTTTATGGAGGAAGTTTTTCTTCTACATTTTAGAAGAGAATCAGTTTAAAGAAAATTTCTAAGTATTCAACTAAATAATAGAACTGATATTATAGCAAAAATCTGTAAATATAGTAATATAAAATTGATTGAACTTTGGGAAACACTCATTGTGTTTACTAGCATGAATTAAAATGCTAAGATGGAAATACTGG